CGCGTGGTGTGTGTGTGCGTGGTGTGTGTGTGTGCGTGGCGTGTGTGTGCGTGGCGTGTGTGTGCGTGATTGTGTGTGTGCGTGGTGTGTGTGTGTGCGTGGTGTGTGTGTGCGTGGTGTGTGTGTGTGCGTGGTGTGTGTGTGCGCGTGGTGTGTGTGCGTGGTGTGTGTGTGCGTGGTGTGTGTGTGTGCGTGGCGTGTGTGTGCGTGGCGTGTGTGTGTGTGCGTGGTGTGTGTGTGCGTGGTGTGTGTGTGCGTGGTGTGTGTGTGTGCGTGCGTGGTGTGTGTGTGCCTGGTGTGTGTGTGCGTGGTGTGTGTGCGTGGTGTGTGTGTGTGCGTGATGTGTGTGTGTGTGCGTGCATGGTGTGTGTGTGCGTGGTGTGTGTGTGTGCGTGGTGTGTGTGTGCGTGGTGTGTGTGTGTGCGTGGTGTGTGTGTGCGTGGTGTGTGTGTGCGTGGTGTGTGTGTGTGCGTGGTGTGTGTGTGTGCGTCGTGTGTGTGTGTGCGTGGTGTGTGTGTGCGTGGTGTGTGTGTGCGCGTGGTGTGTGTGTGCGTGGTGTGTGTGTGTGTGCGTGGTGTGTGTGTGCGTGGTGTGTGTGTGTGTGCATGGTGTGTGTGTGTGTGTGTGTGTGTGTGTGGAGTACATTTTATTTTTTTCCCAGAACCATTTGAAGTCATGGTCCTTTGCTTCTAAACACTTCAGTTTTCTTCGGGATAAAAGGTTTTCTCTTACCTAACAGTGAAGTTCTCAACTTCAGAAAATTCAACATTGCTTCCATGCTGTATCTCTTTTTTGTTGAACTTTTAATTTTTTTTTTAGTTCAATAGCTGTTTGGGGAACAGGTGGGTATTTGGTTATATGGATACGTTCTTCAGTGGTGATTTCTGAGCCATGCTTTATCTTCTCTATGATTCACAATGCGATTTTGTCAGTTAACCCAAAAATATCCTTTATGGCTTATTTAAAAGACTCTAGTACAAGATCAGTCTAGAATCAGATATTGCATTTAACTGTGATGTCTCTTTGGCCTCTAATCTGAAACACTTCCACAGCCTTTCTTTGTCATTCTTGACATTGACATTTTTTAAAAACTGAGTATAATTTTATTGAATCCTGATAGTCCCTGCCCCCACCCCATGAAGTCAGAACTATTATTATTCTCATTTTGCATACAGGGAAACTGAAACATACAGAGGGTAAGGAATTTGCTTGACATCACAATTAGTAAAAGTCAGAGCAAGGATTCAGATCTGTACTAAACCCACCGACTTGACCATCTTAGAGCTGCTTACTTACAATACCTTCATAAAACTCACAAAAATATCCTTATTAATGTTTTAACTTTATATTACACTGTACGTCGACATTTCTGAAAAATACAGATCCCTCTCATTTAAAAAAATTTTTTAAATAGGACTTCCTTCTTTTGGTTTTGCCTGACGTTTTCACAAGATTAGGTTCAGGTTGCTTGTGCCCTGCTGGCATACGACGTGGTGAGGTGTGTCCTTGTGCCCTGCTGGCATACGACGTGGTGAGGTGTGTCCTTGTGCCCTGCTGGCGTACGACGTGGTGAGGTGTGTCCTTGTACCCTGCTGGCATACGACGTGGTGAGGTGTGTCCTTGTGCCCTGCTGGCATACGACGTGGTGAGGTGTGTCCTTGTGCCCTGCTGGCGTACGACGTGGTGAGGTGTGTCCTTGTACCCTGCTGGCATACGACGTGGTGAGGTGTGTCCTTGTGCCCTGCTGGCATACGACGTGGTGAGGTGTGTCCTTGTGCCCTGCTGGAATACGACGTGGTGAGGTGTGTCCTTGTGCCCTGCTGGCATACGACGTGGTGACGTGTGTCCTTGTGCCCTGCTGGAATACGACGTGGTGACGTGTGTCCTTGTGCCCTGCTGGCATACGACGTGGTGAGGTGTGTCCTTGTGCCCTGCTGGCATACGACGTGGTGACGTGTGTCCTTGTGCCCTGCTGGCATACGACGTGGTGATGTGTGTCCTTGTGCCCTGCTGGCATTCGACGTGGTGACGTGTGTCCTTGTGCCCTGCTGGAATACGACGTGGTGAGGTGTGTCCTTGTGCCCTGCTGGCATACGACGTGGTGACGTGTGTCCTTGTGCCCTGCTGGAATACGACATGGTGACGTGTGTCCTTGTGCCCTGCTGGCATACGACGTGGTGAGGTGTGTCCTTGTGCCCTGCTGGAACACGACGTGGTGAGGTGTGTCCTTGTGCCCTGCTGGAACACGACGTGGTGACGTGTGTCCTTGTGCCCTGCTGGAATATGACGTGGTGACGTGTGTCCTTGTGCCCTGCTGGAACACGACGTGGTGACGTGTGTCCTTGTGCCCTGCTGGAATGACGTGGTGACGTGTGTCCTTCTCAGGGCACAACATCTGGAGGCACACAGCATCTGCCCATGCCTCATTGGTGAGGGTGATTTTGATCACCCTGTCAAGGTGCTGCTTGACTTCTCCCCTGTATATTCACTGGTTCTTCCCTCCCTCTGCCTTGTAAATAACATGTGGTCTGTGGGGGGACACTTTAAGACCAGACAAATATCCAGTTCCTCATCAAAATTTACCTCTAGATTTAGCATCTACTGATGATTTGTCCCTGACCCAACCTTTACTGAGAGGGCTGGAACTTGGTGCTTTTCCAACTCCATCCGACACTCCCTCCACACTGACCTGTCAACCCTTGGTCTTGTGCTGGAAGTAAGACCCTCCTTCTCCCCACCCATCTGCTTACTCATCTGTTGATGATCAGTATGGACTCATGACGTTCTTCTTTCAATGGTTAGTAACTCCATACTGCACTTCTTTAGGTGCTGAGATTGCATTTCTTTTGAGATGGAGTCTTGCTGTGTAGCCAGGCTGGAGTGCAATGGTGCGATCTTGGCTCACTGCGACCACCCCCTCCTGGGTTCAAGCGATTCTCCTGCCTTAGCCTCCCAAGCAGCTGGGATTACAGGCACATGCCGCCATGCCTGGCTAATTTTTTGTATTTTTAGTAGAGACGGGGTTTCACTGTGTTCTCCAGGCTGGTCTCAAACTCCTGAGCTCAGGCAATCCACTCGCCTCAGCGTCTCAAAATGCTGGGATTATAGGCATGAGCCACCATACCCAACCGGGACTGCATTTATGTCATCTTCTCTTAGCTGTCTCACGGACAGTTCACACTTAACTTGTCCGAAGCAGAACCCTTGATTTCCCTCCCCAAACTAATCTCCACCTGACCTTGCTCTTTCCCATCCTGGGAAGTCATTATCATCCACCCAGTGGCTCAAGCCAGAGACCTGGGTGTCATCCCTGGTCCTCCCTTTCCCTCGGACCCTCACCTAATTCATACGCAAGTTCTCTTCTGGAATTCAGTTTTGCAAAAAAGGAACGAAAGAAAACACACAGATACACACAAACCTCAATTAATGAGCTAAATGGACAGAGCTAAAGATTGAATTAGTGAGCTGGAGGAGTGGTTTTCAAATTTCATTGTGGATTGGAATCACCGGGGGAGATGTTAAAGCTCTCCGTGTCTAGGGTGCATACTATATAAATTAATGAGGTTTCTGGGGTGGGTCCAGACAGCATCAGCTTTTAAAGCTCTCTCAATTTTGATGAGCAAAAGAGGTTTCCAAGAAGGAGAGGCAAAAGGAAAAATAAAATAAAGTTTATGGTTGAGGAATCTGTTTGACAGATTTAGGACTTTCTATACCCATAGGAGATCCAACGGGGGAGAAGGGAGAGGAGGAAATGAAGAACTGGTATATAATCTTAATATATTCATGGATGTGAAGACTCGAGTAGTTTATAACTTCAACAAAAGATATCCTTACACCAATAGAATTTTTTCATTCTATTTGTAAAACAGACCCTTGACTTCCTAAGGAAAAGAGAATGTGTATGAACACTCAGAGTCAAAGGGAGGCTGGTTTCCAGTTCTCAGATGTCAGAGTAGAGGTTCCGTTGAAAATTTCTTCTCAATATGAGGCCCCAAACAACAAGGAGAGCAAGAAACAGAAATGGAAACTCAATCTTTGATTAAACTAGGAAACATCTGAGGCCCAGCACCACATTTGAGGAAGGGCTGCCAGTGAAGAAAAGGTCGGCAGTGTGGGGTGAGGATGCTGAACGTGCTGTGACTGCAGCAATCCGCTCCATTCAGCAGAGAACCTTCTGCAACATGAGAGGTTCACAGGGACCGAAACCAACAAAAACTTACCTGAGACTGAGGTAGGAGGCAGGCGAACTCCGACCCAGGTTGGAGACTGGACAAAGCTGGGAAGAGATGCCAAAAGCATGGTTCTTTAAGATGCGCCCACCAGCGCCATGCCAGTTTACCATTGCCATGGCAACACCCAGAAGTTACCACCCCTTGCCACTGGCAGCACCTGGAACCTACCACCCATTGTCTAGCTAATTGTGAATAGCCTGTGCCTTAATTACCATATTGTGAAAGTAGGTCTCACTGTTGCCCTGGCTGCTGCCTCTTGGGTAGCCTTGCTCTGAAGGAGCAGTCATGCAACTGTAACCCTGTTTGCCTCAACCAACAACTAGCCCTTGAATTCTTCCCTGAGTGAAGCCGAGAACCTACCCTGCATGAAAACCATGAGAACAGAGTATGAGGACCAAGGGCAATAGCTTCCCTGGACCTGTTTCCTCTAGGAGAGGCTGTGCTGAAGGACAGAATCTTAGGTCAACCATCTTTGCAGGAGACATTCTGAGGGTGAGGCAGATGGAAGAGAGGGACTGAATTATAAGAACCTCTGTAGTCGCAGCCTCTTTTGAGTGGGGAGAAGACACATAGTTTTTGTTTCTGTCCTCTCTGCTCCTGGCTCCCACCTTCCCACCATGCCTCCTCCACCCCGACAAGACACCTGAGCAAAGATGGCTTCACAGCAGAAATCTATCAAAACTTTTAAGGAAGATACATGTAATGTCCCTAGAAAAGAAAACGCATCCGATTCAACAAAACACTGACACGGAAATATCACAAAAGGAGTAAAATAGAAAAGGTTGCGACTTTACTTAGTAATGTTGTACAAAGTTTAAATTAAATTATGAGCTAATGGAGTCCAACAGTATGTTGGAAAAATAAATCACTATGATCAGGAGGACGCTATGCCAACAATGGAAAGATATTTCAATATTAGAAAATGACGAGCATACTCACATGGTTACCTTCATAGTTGCTGATAAGGCATTTGGCAAAATTTAATATGCATATTTGACCAGAAGTGTTTTATAAACTAGGAATAGGTAAATAATTTTAAACCAGTAAGTGGTAAATAAAGCAAATATCGATAGTTCAGAGTTGCCATTATGCTCAAAGTGGGAGAAAATGAGAACGAGTCTAACGGAAATAGCAGGAGGCAGTTTCTGTAGTTCGATGTTATTCTGGAAGTATCAAATCATACGTGTAGACAAAAAAGATAAACTGTGAAGAGAAAGAGACGTTTATAATTATTATTAGGTTATTTTATATCTGAAAAACCGAAGAAAATAATCTGAGTAATTTCTTATAACAAGGGAAATTCATAAAGTTGATGAATACAAAATCAACCAAGATGCAAAATAACTTGCTTTTTTATATACAAGTAATAGCCAGTTATAATGGAGGAAAGGAACTGTCTATGACAACACAATGACAAAATACTCAAGTGACAAGACACACAAGATCTAAATGAAGAGGACTCTAAAATGTTGTTGAGATAAAAAAAAAGGCTTGGAAAAGATGTAAATACATAATCTATTTCTGTCTAGGGATGATTAAATATCATAAAGATGGCAATTTTCCATAAGAGAATCCATAAATTTAATACAATCCTAATACAAAATACCAATAAGAAGTGTTTGTGACTAAAAGTCTGCAGAAAAGTAGGCATGCAAGCACAGCCAGGACTTTCCTGAAAAAGACAGAGACACCTGATAGGGCTGGGGAGCGCGGTGGGGACTCAGGAAATAGCTCTACCAGAACTGAAACCCATCTTTAAAGCCACAGCAATTGAAGCAATATTGTACTGGGCATGAAGAAACCTACAAATCGATGGATCAGAATGGAGAGTCCAGAAACAGACACAAACACACATATGAACACATGATAAGATAGCATTGCACGTTCATGAAGGAAGGTAGGCTGTTAAAAATAATGTTTATGCTCTGGAGAACCATTTGGGAAAGTGCTACGGACTGATTGTTTGTGTCTGCCCTTCCCAAATTCACATGTTGAAATCTTAACCCCCCAAGGTGAGGTCCTTGGGAGGTGATTAGGTCATGAGGGTGGGGCCCTCACAAATGGAATTAGTGTCCTTATAAGAAGAGACAACAGAGAGCGTGCTTCCTCCCCCTCTCTCTGCTCTTTTCTCCTTGTGATAATACATTGAGAAGTTGGTAATCTGCAAGTCAGAATGAGGACCCTTTCCAGACACAGAATCTGTTGGCACCTTGGTCCTGGGCTTCCCAGACTTAATTCCTGTGAGAAATACATGGTTATTATGTAAGCTGCTCACTCTATGGTATTCTGTTACAGCAGCCCAAGCTGACCAAGACTGAAAACTGGTTTTCCCTGCTTCACTTCTCATATGACCAAATTGCAGTTAGATTCAAGATTTAACCTTATAAAATGAAATTAGGAAAGCATAAAATTTAAGGCAGTTAAAAATAACTGTTACACAAAACTCAGAAGCCAGAGAGAAGATTAATAAATTTAATAATATAAATAAAATAATTCTGCATAGCAATCAGAGAAAAATATCACTCTAAACAAAGTCAAAAGAGAAATGATGCTTTGATGGAGAATGGATGGGGAAAATATTTGCAACCGAAATTAAATTATTGAATATAACAATGTTATATTGTTATATTCAAGTCAAGTCAAAAATAAAAAGCCGAACCTGTCAAAGAAAAAGAACAAAGGACAAGAAAAGGAAGCACGGATGGTCCTTAAACGTATGAGACAATGCCTGGCCCGCTCATACTGACACAAATGCAAGTACAGGCAATGAGGCCCCGTTTTTCATCTATCTGGTATCAAACCAAAAACTCTGACAGGATGTTGTGTTTCCGGCGACGTGGGGAAGCATGCTTACATACCTAAGGTAAGAATATAAATTGGTGGAGCCTGTACCATCGTTATCAGAATTAAAAACACACGTAAGTGCTCTTCAACTACGGTCACACGTCTGAGAAGTTATTAGACAGATATGTTCACATGTGTAGAAGGCTGTGCATGCAACCTTCCTGAAACATTACTTTGAAAAGTAAAATCTCAGAAACATGCTTAGTGTCCACAATGGGGGACTGGATAAATAAATGACACAGTTTTCATACAGTGGAATACACAAGAACGAGGCAGCTTTATACATACTGATAGGAAGGATTTAAAAAATACACACTGAATAATTACATAACTGTATGCTGATATATGCCTAGGATATTTCTGGAAAAAAATGGAAGAGATTTTCTCTGGGGAGGAGAACTGGATAGCTGGGGAACAGCAGTGAAAGAAAGAGGGTGGCTTTATGCCATGCTTTGTGAGTTTTGTACTCTGGGTATATAGTATCCATCTTTTAAAAAAGTAATAGCTAAAAGAATCAGAAGAGGGGCTTTTTTCTCAACCAAATAGGATATACTTTAAAGTTATAGAAATGGAAATTGTGACATTGCTGTAGAATAGGCAAGTAGGTCAGAGGGACAGAATAAACTCAAGAATTAGACTGTCTTAGTCTGTTTGTGCTACTGTAACAAAATATCATAGCCTGGATGGCATATAAATAACAACCCAGAAGAACTGTTTATAAGAATTGCTTCTCACAGTTCCGGAGGCTGGGAACTCCAAGGCTGAGGCGTCAGCAGGTTCAGTGCTGGCTGAGGACTTGCACTCTCTCCTTCATAGATGATGCCTTCTCACTGTGTCCTCACATGGTGGAAAGGAAACCGGAGCACTCTGGAGTCGCCTTTATGAGGGCACTAATCCCATTCTTAAGGGCTCCACCCTCCTGGCCTAGTTACCTGCTAATACCATGACACACAGTTGGGCTAACTGGTTATTCATAGAGAAGAAAGAGGTATTGAATTTCCATCTTGCATTATCCACGCATGTAAACTCCCACTTGTTTAAAGGCTTAATGTCCAAAACAAAGCCACAAAATATTTTAAAGAAACATAGGCAAATATGTGGTTTTTGACTTTGGGAAGGGAAGTCTTTAAAAGACACAAAAAGCTCTCCCTCCGCACCTCCCAAAAAGCTGGGCGAGGTGGCATCTGTAGTTCGAGCTGTTCAGAGGCTAAGGCAGGAGAATCTCCTGAACCCAGGAGTTTGTGTCCATCCTGGACAACATAGCAAGACTCCATTCCTAAAAAAGAAGAAGAAGGGAAAAAGGATGAAAGAAAAGAAAGAAGGACAGAAACTCTTCAAATTAATCTCTCTCTCTCTCTCTCTCTCTTTAAGACAGAGTCTCATTCTGTTGCCAGGCTGGAGTGCAGTGCCACAATGTCGGCTCACTGCAACCTCCGACTCCCTGGTTCAAGTGATTCTCCTGCCTCAGCCTCCCAAGTAGCTGGGATTACAGGCGCGTGGCACCATGCCTGGTTAATTTTTGTATTTTTAGTAGAGACGGGGTTTCACCACCCTGGCCAGGATGGTCTGGAACTCCCAACCTCGTGATCCACCCCTCTCGACCTCCCAAAGTGCTGGGATTACAGGCGTGATCCGCCGCGCCCGGCTATATCTCTTAAGTATGTGTGTGTGTGTGTGTGTGTGTATGCGTGCACGCGCATTTATATTCCAAACTCATAATAGTGGTTCCCTTAGGTAAGGTTGGGTATGGATGGGGTGGGAATGGAGGGCTTTAGCTTTACATGTAAAGGGCTATAAAAATTATTATTTAAGGAATTTATTATTGCTGTTAATTATGTAATAATTTCAAACTAATTTCTAATTTTTTAAAAATAGAGATGGGGTCTCACTGTGTTGACCAAGCTGGTCTTGAACTGTTCCTCTTAGCTGGTCCTCCCACCTCAGCCTCCCAAAGTGCTGGGATGACAGGCGTGAGCCACCACCCCCAGTCTCTTACCCAAAAATAATGGAAAAAATCCTCCCAAACTGAAGAAAGCCAATACATCTTTAGAATAAAAGAGCCTGTTGAGAGTTGAGCATGAACAATGAAAAAAAGAGATTCAAACCCAAATATATCCTCTTACAATTTTATAATGATAATGGTACATAGAAAAATCTTAAACGCTCTCAGAGAGCAGAGACTTTCAGTTTATATGGCAAATGGTTTCTCCCCAAACAAACCATTTTCAGGAGCCTCTGGCCCTAGTGTATTCCTCCTGCCCACGTACGTCTGTCTGGGGTCTATGGTAATAGAGGCCCTTCAGCTAATGTCCCACCCGCAGAAGGAATTGCTGAAGCCACTGCGAGAGGGAGGTCAGCTCTGGGTTTGAACCATGGTAATCCTCCCCAGTCTGCTCCTTAGGCATCTCGCACTGAGGTTTCTGTTTGTCCAGGAGCAGGTAAAATGAAACTCCTTTGAACAGAATGAGCGGTGAGCCCGTCGCGGGCCCCGAATCCTCACGACAGCGTTCCTTACTTCCCTACTCCTTGTGGACCAGAACACCTGATGGTTTTGTAGGATTTTCCAAGATGCTTTCTTTACCTACTCTGTCCTCACTGCTGAGCGATTTTAAAATGTAAGATGCAATCAACCACCCAAAGAACGTATGAGCCAGTGGCACAGAGCTGGGTCCTTTGTCCTAAGGCTGCGATTTCAGGAATTTCTTAGATAATGCGTCTTTTATGTGTTGCGATGATGAAAGGCTCTAGTGGAACGCCCTGTTTACACAGAATGTGACATTTATAAGTTTCCAGGAAAAGGCCCTGCCTGGCTGGCAGAACAGAATCACCAGCAGACTCAGAATCAGGCGGGGATGCTTCTGATGTTCACGTTATCCACACCCATGGGACGCAGCCCTTTTGCCAGTGGTTGGCGGAACACAGGAAAGGCATGTCCTGGAAGACCCTCCGATTCCAAACCCATGCAGACACTCAGCCCCGCCCACGCTGGAGCCTGGGATGCTCTTGTTGCAGCTTCAGGAGGAGCCTCAATTTCCCTCAGAAAGGATGTTTAGATCCTCAGAATGCAGTGGCCCAGTGCTATACGCAACAAATGTGAAAGAGCAAACTGGAAAAAAGACTTGTCATATAACTGATGGAGGATGAATATTATTCCCATATTTATTCTTCTGGCAACGGAGCATGAGAGGGGCTCATCCCACTACACCCTCGTGTCACTGGAACCGTGAGAGATAAAAAATGACACCCTGGCTGGGGGCGGTGGCTCAAGCCTGTAATCCCAGCACTTTGGGAGGCCGAGGTGGGTGGATCACGAGGTCAAGAGATCGAGACCATCCTGGTCAACATGGTGAAACCCCGTCTCTACTAAAAATGCAAAAAATTAGCTGGGCATGGTGGCACGTGCCTGTAATCCCAGCTACTCAGGAGGCTGAGGCAGGAGAATTGCCTGAACCCAGGAGGCGGAGGTTGCGGTGAGCCGAGATTGCGCCATTGCACTCCAGCCTGGAATAACAATGAGCGAAACTCCGTCTAATAAAAAAAAAGGGGGGGCATTGGCTGAGCGCCTGAGAAGAAAACATTTTCCTTATGATTGCTCCTTTCTGTTTTGTTTTGTTGTTCCACAGTCTGGCTACGAGCAAATGATTGTTCCTTTATGTCTCATCTGTGAATTTTCTGTCCATGTCCTTTGTCCACCTACGGGGACATTGATGGATTTGCTGTTGTTGGTCACCTGCTTAAGTGCGTTCAGTACAAGTACACTTGGCCTGTCACATATATGGAAAATAATTTTCCTAACTGGCTTGAGTTGAAAGTTGGTTGTTGCTGCATTTTGTCATGCGGAAAGCTCCAGTTCTTAAGTGATCATCAAACCTGTTGATATTTCCTTTTAAAGATATTTCCCCTCTTCCTTTTGTAGGGCCATCCCAGAGGAAAGAGCTTCTTGCCGTAGATTCTTTCTGAAAATGACGGACTTCTCTGCAAGTCAGGCAACAATAATGATATCGTTCAATGCACTTCAGCTGACTTGATGACACTTGGGGACAAGGACACAGTGGCATACCAAGAGTAGGTGGTGGGAACAGCCTACCCTGCACACAGCAATAAAGGAGTGTCTTATGTGCAGCATCACTAAAAACAGTAATAAAACTGACGACAAGGTGGCCAGGTTTTATTACCACTATATGCTGGTTATTCTAAGCAATGTCCGTGATAAAGCACTTACTCCTTCCCCCAAACCATTTATTAGTCTAAGTCCTAAACGGTTGGTGCTATTAGTGCTGGCTTTTGGTGATACATGTCCAAGCTTAAAGAGTGCACGTTTTATTACGATGTGTTAATAAACATTGCCCTCTACATGGAGGTTAATCTGGAACACCTCCAATTACGCAGGATATAAGCAGAGTCAGTTGCAGGCTGGTTTCAAGAGTCCGTTTGCAAGGGTGACAATTCAGGATTGTTGGCGCTTGCTTCTGGGGCAGTCGGCTTCTCCTACTCCAGACGTACTCCATATTTCCGCACGGAACCAGGAGGGTGGAAGTGAATGAGGCTCGCCCGATGAACTGGACTCAGTTCAGTTCTGCCTGTCTGGGTGTGAGCCAGTCTCTGAAGCTTTGGAGCTCACTCTTTTGAAAGTGTATCTTTGTGCATGGCCCCACTTAAAAAAATACATTAGGGTAATGATTAATCCATGACTTTTAAATTTTTGTATTGTAATATTTATTTTGCTTTTACTAAAAAGTTTTTACTGGCAAAATTATATATACAAAGCTCAATCCTGCCACTGTGTCCTCTGGCTATTAGTATTCTTTCCGTTACATTATGACCAAAGATTATTTCATTGCATGTGGGGATGTTGAAGGTGATCTTCTTGAAACTAACACAATGGGTGTGCCACAGCAGGTGTGTTTCCCAGTCTTCACCACAGGGCCTTGTCACTCGCAAGGGGGAAGGGCAGGTGGCAGGTATGGTTGTGAAGAAGGGATGGCCAGCAGGACTGGCTGGTTTCTTATCATTCAACTTCCATTCAATGCAGGTCAACTCTCCTGGGGTCGTCCTGAGCAATGCCTCCAGACCTGTCTTGACAGTGCCCACCTGGCCTTGGGGGACAACCCACTGAATACACAAGAGTGTTCTCTGTAGGCAGCCCTGCTGCCCGTCCTTGCAGAATGTGTTCTTTCCTGCTGCTGGTAGGCAGGGGTCTGCAGGCGAGATGCGTCACTGTGGTCTCTCTCCATGGTGACCAATGACCGGCTGGGAAAGGGCTTCCTCCAGCTGCTCTCGACCCGGCAGAGGCAGGAGAGGTGGTACCCCTTGAGCCTCATGGTGCTGGTGTCTTGACTAGTCTCTGAGTACTCTCTGGGGCCACAGGCAAAGAGAGAGCAACCATCTTTTCCTGCCCCACAAAACTGCTGACATGGTTTTGACACTGTCTGGAGTCCTAATGTCAGGCTCACTTCGCATAAGCAGCTCAACTAGAAGAGCAAGTGGGAAGGAGGGCGTCAGGCCACGTGACTGTGTTTAGTGTTGGTTCAGTTCTGAGTTCTGCCAGTGATTTCAGGAGGGTCAACCTGAGGTTGTTATCTCTGCCAGAGCTCCACGCCACCTGGAGGAGCCTCAGGAGCTGTCCAGTTTGAGAAAGAGAGCTTTTTTTGGAGCTGATCACAAAGATGCTTGGAGTGAAGGGGACTGATTTTGTATTTTAGAGATGGGATCTTGCTATATTGCCCAGAGTGGAGTGCAGTGGTTATTCACAAGCACAAACATAGTGCACTATGGCCTGGAACTCCTGGGCTCACACAAGCCTCCTGCCTTATTCTCCCGAGTAGCGGGGGTTCCAGGCATGCACCACTGCACACAGCTTCTTATGGCATTTTGACCTCTTAGAAAACCCTTACCGTTTCTGGCTGGGGAGACACTGGCCCCCTGGAGGTAGCCAATCCTTAGA